TCTTCTTCTTCTTCTTCTTCTTCTTCTTCTTCTTCTTCTTCTTCTTCCTCCTCCTCCTCCTCCTCCTCCTCCTCCTCCTCCTCTCCATAAACTACACTCTCTTCTAGCCCTAATGATGTTACCAAGTTGGGTCTTGAAATGACTGCAAGAAAGCCACCCAGTGGCACACTCTAACTGGTAATTGTGGGGGAAACTTTTTTTTTGAAATGCTTGAATTGAGATAGAACTTTTGGAATGATGAAATAAGAATACGCGATGAAATGGCAAACTTGATAGAGAAAAGCATAAAGTATAATGAATATGAAGATATGAGAGTTATTTAAAGTTTAAGGAAAGATAAATCAGTGAATTGAAAATATATATATAAAATAAGCGGGAGGAAAGTATTTGACAACAACGATAGAAAATATGTAAAGTAATGGTAAGATATGCAATGAAACGTGAAAGATTAATATGAAATTAAAGTCATGCTTGTATGGAAATGTGATAAGCTGGAATCATGCTATTCCCTGAAAAAAAGATGTTTTTAATGTGTGGAAAACTGAAATAAAAATTTATTTTAAAAAAAGAAAGAAAGAAAGCCACCCAGCTCAGAGAGCACCCAGGACCTCTCCAAGTAGAAATAAGTCATGTTTTCTCCCTTGTCCACCTGGTCCACGAGGATCTGTTAGTCCAACCTCTTCGCCACTACTCCTCCCTAGTTGTGAAGGGTGAGTTGTGGTTCAGTGCGTTTTCCAAACTCTCCCCGCGGCCGCCAAAATTCAGTGTGCATTTTCCGTCCATTTACAGGTCTGGATGACAACCTCATCAAGGAAGTGTGGAAAGGCTGGTCCAGACCCCCGGATCTCACACACAAAGCCCCACATCTGATCCTTACCTTGCGGCCCCCAAGCCAGCTGGACCTTGCCCCAAAGGGCCGGCATCGCCGGGCAGCTAACACCCCCAGCTGCCCCAGGTAGGATACACGGTGGTAGTGGTTATTTTTTGCAAAACATCCAGCAGAGTGGTGAACTCTGAAATCGCTCTAGGGCACGAATTCCAAAAATTGCACAATCCCACCGGATTTGCAAAAAAAACCAGGACCTGGATATTGGTGTGTTGGTAGTCCTTGACTTACAACCTGTCATGCCCCTGTTGGAATCTGATTCCGAGGGCGAGGTCGAACAGCTGACAGGGAGTGGGAGTGTGGCTCCAGTGGTTGTGGAGGAAACTGGGGAAGGGCACAGTCCAGCTGGACATTCAGAGGAAGACCCAGGCCCACCCCTCTTCATCCTAGGGCATGCAGGGAGGAATGCATAAGGGAGCAACATGGATTACGGGGGAGAAAAGGGCCCTGATTCCCTTCATTAGCTGCAGCTGGGAAAACAGGATAAAAAGGGTGTTTGCACACAGCACCTTGCTGGAAGCAAAGCGTGCATTATCTTTGTTTGTCGTGTCCTATCTGGGTTCTGGCGTCCTCGCGACTGTATGTGTTTCATTATCTTTTGTGTTCTGCAATTCCTTATCCTGCCCAGGTCAGTGGGGTGGGGAAGGAATGGGGATTTTGCAGTAACCTTCCTCTGCCACACCCACCATGCCACGCCCACCAAGCCACACCCACAGAACCGGTAGTAAAAAATATTTGAATCCCACCACTGCTCTATCTTGTGCCGGTGAGTTCCACTGATTTAACACCATGTGATTCGACTCCTGAAATAATAATTCTTCTCGTTTCATGCAGGAATCCGGATAAAGACTGCTGCCTTCACCCACTATATATAGATTTTCGGAAAGATCTGAAGTGGAAATGGATCCACCAGCCCAAAGGATACAAAGCGAATTTCTGTGCTGGCAGCTGCCAATATAGTCTAACTACCAACATGCATCATAACATGGTGAGAATCAGACTACAATGCTGGGGTATTCTGGGAGTTGAAATCCACCCATCTTAAAGCATGCAGGCTGGGGGATTGCGGGAGTAGAAACCCACAAGCCTTAAAGTTGCCAAGTTTGGAAACCACCTATTTTAAAAGAACCTTTCAAAACAGAGATTTTCAAATGTTTTTTTCAGTAAAAAAAAAATAATAATCCCTGGACTTTGAGTCCAGATGTAAAACCCTAGAGATAAAAATTGGCTGCAAAATTCAAAATTTTTGCCTTTTTAGGCTGTTGTGGGGGCTTTGGTTGGCAAATTCCTATTTGAAAAAATAGGGGGAGAATTTTTTTTAAAAAAGATTGACATATATTTCACTTTTTAATCTGGGGGTAGATGAGGGGTGATTTAAAGGGGCTCTGAAACCAATGACGGGCTGTACTGGAATTTGGTGGGGCGGAGATAATTTGGCGCCTGATCCTTTTCTTCTTCCTTCTGCACCCCTTTTTCTGCAGGTGCTTCCCCTGTACAGCAAACTGAACCCCGAAGGCTCGGCCGCTCCTTGTTGCGTCGCCCGCAAACTGGAACCTTTGACCATCCTTTATTACGTCGGCCGCCAGCCCAAAGTCCAGCAGCTGAGCAACATGATTGTGAAATCCTGCCGTTGCCGTTAAAATGGTGTGTGTGTGTGTGTGTGTGTGTGAGTGTATGTGTGTGACTGGCAAGGAGCCCCCCTTTCCATTTTCCTCAGAAAAAAATCTGAGAATCCCAATTTTCCCCTCTTTGCCACCCAACTTGAAATTCTAGACCTAGAAAACCTTGAATTACGCTGTCTTCGGTCCAATCTAAGTATGGTATATAAAATCATACATTGCAATGTCCTACCTGTCAATGAATACTTCAGCTTCAACCATAACAACACAAGAGCACACAACAGATACAAACTCAAGGTTAACCGCACCAAACTTGATTGCAGGAAATACGACGACTTCAGCAACAGAGTGGTCAACGTCTGGAATACTCTGACTCTGTGGTTTCTTCTCCAAACCCCAAAAACTTTAACCTTAGAGTGTCTACTATTGACCTCACCCCTTTCCTAAGAGGTCTGTAAGGGGTGTGCATAAGCGCACCAACTTGCCCACCGTCCCTGTCCTATTGTTTCTTTTATTTTTCTTACATGTACCCATTTCATGTATTCAAAACTATGTATATACTTATACCTATTCTCTTGTAAGCAACTGACAAATCAAATCAAATAAATAAATAAATAAATAAAATCAGGAGAACTTTTCCTTCGAGGGCAGAAAAAACTTTCTACCGCAAAGAGCCCAAGAGTCTAGTCCTCGTTGTCGAGAAAATTCATCTTCCAGAGCTGAGTGATTGGGGCATGAGATTGGCCCTCTGCCCATGATCAGAGGCATTTTTCCTTTTGTGGTATGGAATCGGCAGTCCTGGCAGGTGGGTTCTGGGCCAGTTTTCCCCCCAAGACTTACAGATACAGATAATTAGAATTGGAAGGGACCTTGTAGGTCATCTAGACCAACCCCCCGCCCAAGCGGGAGACCCCACACCATTTCTGACCAATGGCAGTCCAATCTCTTCTTGAAAGCCTCAACTGATGGTGCTCCCACAACTTCTGAAGGCAACTTCTGTTCCATGGGTTGATTGTTCTCAGTGTCAGAAAGTTTCTCCTTATTTCAAGGTTGAAAAATCTCTCCTTGTTCAGTTTCCATCCATTCTTCCTTGTCTGGCCTGCAGGAGCTTGACCCCTTCCTCCTCTCTGGGGCAGCCCCTCAAATATTGTAAGACTTGCTTTAAAAAGTCTGAATTGGGGTTGCTGCCAGTGGTGGATTCTTTGAGGAGGAAAATCTCAGGCCATTTTGGGGGCTCGGCCATACCAAAACGGAGCCATTTGAAGGATGAAGAAAGTGCAAAGAAGCTACGGTGCATTGCCAGAAAGAGCCTCTGCCACGCAATGCCCACGTGGTTTGATTGGCAGCCTGAATGTAGGAAGAGAAAAGGGGTTGTGTGTTTCAGAGGGGTATTGGGGGTCAGCAAGGAAAAAAAGGAAAGGCAAAGGGGAATATTTGTAGTTCAGGATTGAAATAGGGGGCATCTCTGAGCTGGGTGGTTTTCTTGCAGACGTTTCATGACCCAACTAGGCAACATCATCAGTGCTAGAAGGGACTTTGTTTTGGGAGGAGGAGTGGTGTGGGGAGAAGAAGAGGAGGAGGAGAAAGGGAAAGAGAAAAAAGACTGTGGGATCTTTGGTGCTCTTTGAGCTGGGTGGTTTTCTTGCAGACCTTTCAAGACCCAACTAGGTAACATCATCAGTGCTAGAAGGGAGTTGCGAGGAGGAGGAGGAGGAGGAGGAAAGTCCACCCATCTTAAAGCCTGCTGACTGGGGAATCCTGGGAGTTGAAGTCCACCCAACTCTGAGCGGCCAAGCTTGAGAAACGCTTGGATAAAACAGCGAGACTTTCATTGACAAAAGAGAGAACATTCTGGTTTTTGTTTTGTTTTGTTTTTAAAAAAGCTAAATTTACTTTATTTTACTTCTCAGTTTTGAAAGAGTTGCAGCGTTGAGACCGGGCAGGGACAGGGCTCCCCGAGAAGGGACAGAGAAGTGTGTGGGGGTGACCCTTCCAAGTCTGGGTTGGGGGCTCAGATTATTCCTCTTCCTTGCAGCTGGAGGTGAAGTTTATCTACCTGTTGCTCCATCTGTTCGGTGAGCGGGTGATTCGCCCCGAGTTTTCTCTGGTAAGCTGAGTTGGTTTCGGAAAAGAGAGGAGAGGAAAAAAAGAAACTCACCCAAATTTGGAATTTTAAACTTCATTTTGTGGCTAAGATTCCCCTGCGTCGCCGTTCAGAAATTGTCTCCTCGACTTACGAGCAGAGAATTTCTGGGGTGAAGCTACAACCTCTCAAGCCAGCCACACCTGGATTGGCAAACTTTTGTCTGCAGGAGGGGTTAGCCAATGGCTGCTGTTGCTAACCGAATCATATGGTTGTTAAACGAATCTAACCTTCCCCCCCCACCATCACTCACTTGTCCGAAGCCAGCTGGGGAAGGTTGCAAATGCTGGTCCTCCCCCACTTCAAAAAAATGCTTCTACTGCCATAAATACATGCCAGTTGCTAAGGGGACAGATTTTGGATCATGCAACCATGGGGATGGCTGCCATTGGGCATAAGTCGAGGAGCAGTCGTTAAGTCGAGGACATGTTGTAAGTCACTTCCCCCCCACCCCCAATGCCATTGTAACTTTCGACAGACTGCTATATGAATGGTTGTAAGTCAAGGAACTATCCTGAAAGTTAATTGCTTTCAATTATATCTTTGGCTGTGGTAATAAAAGATAAAGCGGTTAACGTTTTAATTAACTCACAGAGCAGGGTTGCTTTTAAGATTGCCAAGACTTCTTCCTCCATCAATTCTTGCAGAGGTAAAGGCACCTGAGAGACGGCAAGAGAAAGGTTTAGGGGGGGGGGGCGGGGGGGGTCAAAAAAGTCAAAATGGCAGCCGTAACCCAAGCCATTTGGACTTGTGACACCCATCTGTGAGGGTAGTTACGTCACCCGAGGTTTGACAGTGTTCACTCCGAAATTTTGCAATTTCAGATCGTCGATCAAGTCGGCCGCTTTCCACGTCCCACTGAAGGCGGGAGGGTTGCAATTCTGCTTTGCTGTGGATGATGGGCACTGTGGTGCTTCCCATGGGGCGGCGGCCTAGAGGGAGGAGCTCTGGCCTCTCAATCAGGAGGTTGTGAGTTCGATCCTTGGGTAGAGGCAGATATTTCTCTCTCTGGGCACAAAGAGAGAAATATTATCTGCCAAACAAAACTCCGCACCGGTGATGGGAAGGGAATCTGGCCAGTAAAAACACTCTGCTAGCTCCATCCTGTTTCCCAGACTCCACTCCACAAGGGATTATCAGAGTCGTTAAAAGAAGATGGCGAATGTTTTCCGGAAATCGTATTTTGTGACGAGAGCAAATAAATGTTTGCTTTGGTTTTGTGATTTGCAAAACGACTTGTCTGCCTTTGAAAATTAACATGAAAATGAAATTTAGGATGAAAACGTTAATATTCCAGGGCCAGTTAAATCCAGAGCTAGGTCGAATTGCACAACTGATGAAATAAAATTGGGGATGGGAAGGAAACCAGAGAGGAGGCAAACTCTATGGTTCGGAGGACCAAATTGATTGAACCAAGCGCGCGGACAGGAAACGTCCCCAAGCAGAGATGCAGAAAGTATAAATCAGGAGGGCACCAAAAACTCACAGCCACTTTAGAGTCCCGTTCGTGTTTCCCAAATTTCTGCTTGTACGTTTTATCCTAGAAAAACCATGAAAAAGAAAAAGAAAAACCATGAAAAACCGAAGGCTAATTTCGAATTTGCAAAAACTCTTCCTGAAAAACCCAAACTCATCATTTCCCCTATCTAGTTAAATCCAGTGTCAGGGTTCCGGCAGTTACTCCAATTAAATCATGAGCCTTGAGCCCCACTCCCAAGACTACGCCCATCTATCTAAAATTTTTAAAGCACTCAATGCCCTATATTTTTTTTGGGGGGGGGGTGCTTTGAAAAATAAAATAACACAAAAAGAAAATAACACGATTCGAGTTAAGACATCTGATAAACTGCCAAATAACGTCACCATCAGGTTGATAAGGCGACAGCTAGACAAGGATTTTTTCAACCTTGGGGGGTGGACTTCAACTCCCAGAATTACCCATCCTAAAGCCTGCTGGATGGGGAATTCTGGGAGTTGAAGTCCACCCATCCTAAAGCA